CGATCCAAGTAGACCTGTGCAGCTACCCTTACCTTGTGGTCCGTCACCACGGGAACCTTTGCGGGAATTCCAGGCCACTAGTGTTGAGGAGGTATTCACCTTTCTCGTGAGACTCGATGCTCGTAAAGCTGAGGGCAGCGACAGTATTCCGGCATTCATCCTGAAGCATTGTGCAGCAGCCCTCGCCCCGTCGCTATCCATATTAATTAATGCATCCCTTTCGTCTGGCATTGTGCCCGTCTCCCTGAAGATTGCAAATGTTCGACCCCTATTTAAGTCTGGTGACAAGAACGCATCTCGCAATTACCGTCCCATATCTTTGCTGCCAGTAGCATCGAAGATCTTGGAGAAGATTGTCCACAAACGCCTGTGTGACTTCTTACAAACCCATTCACTTTTGCCCGCCAATCAGTTTGCGTACCGACCACAACACTCCACGGAAGATGCCTTGTCCTTGGCCATGGACCGCTATCTGTCGTCAGCAGACCATCAGCTACATACTGGCGCAGTACTAGTGGACATGAGCAAGGCATTCGATAAAGTACGGCACCAGCTCATGATCCAAGATTTGTTTGCTTTGGGTGTATCTTCGACTGTTTTGCGTTGGTTTGCGAGCTACTTCACGGACCGTCGACAGAGAGTAGTTCTGGCGAGTGGGCAGTGCTCGGGCCTAACTGCATGCGAGTGTGGAGTCCCTCAGGGTAGTGTACTGGGTCCTTTGCTGTTTTCACTATACACTATGGACGTCCATAGCGTCACCAGCCCAGCACACTCCCAGCTGTTTGCGGATGACATCCTTCTCGACACCGCAAGCAGATCTGTAGCAACCCTAAATCAAGTCTTATCAGTTGCTGTGTCAAACTTGGCTGACTACCTGCACGGGAAAGGCCTGGTTTTAAACCCTGACAAGACGCAGGTCTTAGCCATTGAGGCATCACGCCGTAGTACCCTGGAACTCAACGTTAACTGCAACGGGACGCCTCTCACCCAGACCACCACTGCTCGCTTTCTGGGCCTACAGATCGATTCCTGTCTTCGGTGGGACGCGCAGGTCTCCAGCATAGTACGTAAAACTTCCCAGAAGCTAACCACCCTGAGAACCATCCGCCCGTCGCTATCTGAACGCCAGTCGCTCCTCTTCTATTCTGCCCTTATACTTCCTGACATGCTTTATGGATCAAACGCGTTCTTCTCTGCCCTCACGGCTCAGCAGCGGCACCAGCTCACTGTCCTCGACAAGCGATGTGTTCGCTGCGTAGCCAATCTGCCCTTCCCGTCCCATACCACTCCTATATATTATACACTCGCCTTTCCCTGACCCCTGTAATTGAACGTGCCAAATGCAAACTCCGTTTCCTTATGCACCGTGTCCACACCAGCAGCATCAGCCCTCTTCTGAAAGATAGAGTAGCCCTCCAACCTCCCAGTAACACCCGTGGCAATGACAATTGCAAATACGTTGTTCCGCTAACTCGGCGAACATCTGGCGACAGCCGACCATTGGTTTCCGCCGTGAAGCTTTGGAACACCCTGCCACAGGAACTCACGTCCGCTCGTCGTCCAACCCCGTTTAAAAGATTGCTAAAAGTGTTTTTCTACGGTTAATATGGCCGAATAGCACCTCCCTCTGGCATAGGTCCTCATCTTCCTATTTCTCCCTGATTGTTACTTCGTTCGAACTTGACTTGTAATTACCGGTACAAATACTTCCTTTTGACTGTTTTCTCATTTTCGCAAGTGAAGCTTTATCGAGCTACACTTTTTATTCTATCGCCATCATAATATTGGGCATCAATGCCCGTTTGGTTTGCGATGTAAAATAAAACTTCAAACAAAAAAGACAAACGTGACATTGACGCTGTATGGTCACAGAAGAAAATACAAGCTAGACCTTTAGTGAAGTCCTGCGGATACTGTGGGGGAACACATCCTCCAAGGCAGTGTCCGTCGTACGGTAAAACATGCACAAAGTGTAGCAAGGTCGGTCACTTTGCTAAGGTGTGCAGAAGTCAGCAAAAACCACCAGCAGTCACAGCAATGGAGCAGACAGCAGTACAAGCGGAAGACGTTCGGACCCGGTCGTTTGGAACGATCCTGGTCAGTGAACTACCAGCAGACAGATGGAAGGAGACCATTCTCCTCGATCAACGACCAACGTTGTTCAAGCTAGACACCGGTGCAATGGCATCTGTATTGGACTTTTCAGTCTTCAGGAGCATACGGCCAGACCAGCAGCTTGACACAACTACTACCATTCTCTCTGGTTTTGATCAGAGCACGGTTCGACCAGAGGGAACGGCTACTATCAAGACGACTTACCAAGACAAAAGCCGCGATGATACCAGTTACCTATTATGTCAGCCGGAAAGTATCCTGCCCGATTCTTGGGCAGAATGAATGCGAAGCTCTACACCTCGTTCAACGCATATTCCAATCAAGCTCGAAAGCTGACAACCGGGAGAAAGTCATCGAGCAATACCAGGACGTATTTACTGGCCAGGGGACGTTCGGTGAAAGCTACCACATCGATGCTGACGTTGTTCCTGTCGCACAGCCACCAAGGAAAATCCCGCACAGTCGTCTTCACAAGTTGAGGGAGGCACTCGATGAAATGAGGAAAGGCGGAATCATCACGGATATGAGAGAGCCAGCGAAATGGGTCAGCAACTTGGTGATGTCTGAAAAGAAAAATGGCAAACTCAGAATATGTCTGGATCCGAAGCCGCTGAACAAAGCTATCATCCGTGAGCCGTTTCCAGCCCCTACCCTTCATTACGTCCAAAGCAAGCTGACGGGCAAGAAAGTATTTTCTGTGCTTGACCAATCATCATCATTCTGGCAAGTCAAGCTCAGCGAAGAGTCATCAATGCTCTTCACATTCAACACCCCATGGGGCCGAATGAGATTTCTCCGCATGCCTTTCGGGATGCGCTCCGCCAGTGACATTTTGCAGAGACGCAACTACGAGACGTTTGGAGACATCCAAGATACGCACATAATGGTAGACGACACGGTTGTCGCTGGAGAGACAGATGGTGAACATGATGAAGTACTTGAGACTGTACTCGGACGAGCACGAGAGAAAGAGTCAAATTCAATCCTTCAAAGTTCCAATACAAAGTATCGGAAGTCAGCTACATGGGCCACCTAATTGGAGAGGAAGGCATTCGAGCTGATCCTGGGAAGGTCAATGCACATCAAGTCTCTACGATCACCATCGAATGCCGCTGAGCTGAGAGGAATCCTGGGTATGGTCAACTTTCTAGCACAGTACATCCCCAATGAGTCGGCCATAACAGCACCACTCAGGCAGCTACTCAAGGACGACAGACTGGCTGTGGTGTGATGAACATAGAATCAGAATATTCCATTCACAGTTCATCTATTACTTGACCTGGCCTAAATGCCTACTCTTAACAAGCTGTCCCTCCAGGGCAGAGCCTCGCTATCCGCAACGCAAATGGCTATGTTTACTACTAGTGGAACATGATTAAGAATCTAAACATGCATGCACAGCTTACCTCCATGCATCAGCCTATTGGACTCCTCAGAATATTCCATCGTCACAGTTCATCTATTACTTGACCTGGCCTAAATGCCTACTCTTAACAAGCTGTCCCTCCAGGAAATCGTGATTCCACGGATGCAACAAATTTCGCGATTTTCGGCCAAACCCGCGATTTTTAGCAAAATCCGCGATTTCCCGCGTTTTTTGTTGTTTTCTGCACTATATCTCACTTTTTTATGCACTTTTCACGCAGTGCTTTCCATGATCCTGTAGGTTATTTGCACAGTACGACTCGTACTACTGTACTCCCGAGTAGATATACGATGCAACAAATTTCGTGATTTGGCCCAAGTCCGCAATTTTCTGCAAATAATTCCGCGAATTCCTGGCAAGTTCTGCATCATTCCACACTTTTCTTCGCATTTTTTGTTGTTTTCTGCCGCGATTTCTTGCGCAAGTTTTCAAGAGTTTTTTCCGCAAATTCCCGCAGGGACAGAGTTACAAGGTACACTCCTAAGGGCCGATTCCCACTACGGTACCGTGAGTGCCGTGCCGACGATTTGGGTAGGTCACGTGTACCCCATGGTACGAGCTTGACGCTGAGAGTGATTTACACCTGCGCACAGTCATTCCGTGCATTCCGTCGGCAGGCCGGATCACCATTTTTTTTATCAATTTCTGACTTTGGTCCTGAGGGAAAATAGCAGGGGCCGGGGAGATGACTGGAGAAAGCTCAAGAAGCAACCAATCGAAAAGCCAAGAAAAAATTTCGTACCACAAATACAAAAGAAAGAAAAACTTCCTTTCAGGGAGTAGTAAAATACCTACTACTCACTGCATTCGACCTCGCGGAATACCACGGCATGCCATTTCCACCCCCCAGAGGCCCTCGGCACCGGGATGTCCACGGCGCGGTACGGCAGGAGCCACGGAATGAACTCGCGCCAAAACTACCCCTCACGTGAGCAAATCACCATGGGTACTCACGGCACGGCACTCTCGGTACCGTAGTGGGAATCGGCCCTAATCACTAGGGAAAAGACAGATGTGACATATTCCACCAGCATTGAGTTAGTGCTTACACTCACACTTCCATTCACACCTTATTCCCACACTTACATCATCTACACTTGCATTGTGTTATTTATCACCAAGAGTACATAAGGGGGTTATGTACTCTTGTTATCACCTATGTTCTCCCCCTATATATACCATGCTATCTACTCCCTTTGAGTATCTATTCCTCAGCTCAAGAATTTGTTACAACAGGTATGTATACTTCAAATAGAATGAATGTGAACCCTGAAACCAACAAAGGTGGTAGGTACAACATTACACCTTCAAGCAGCCGAGCCCGTTGGCACAGACCCAACACATCCGGCATAAGTATACCCACCAACCGAACTAGCTGGCGCACGCACACACACACACGTACGCACACACACGTACGCACGCTCTCAACAAAAGAACCCAAGTATTCTTTTTTTTTTCATTTAAAGAAAGACTATCAAGCCATTGGGATGATGGCCCAAAGCAGCGGAGCCTGTCGAAAACAAAATAATAAAATCAAAGGTGAGGGAGAGAGCACTGTTAACGGAATCTGGAAGCAAGCAAAATACCCATGGAACATTAGCACTCAAACACACCACCAGAGTAAAAGCAAGATGAAGAAAAACAAGATTGTTGACTCTTCTGACACGGCAGCAAAACGCAAAATCAGCAAGTCGACTCTGGGGAAGTATGGGGAAAGAGGAGAGGCAAGCAAGAAAAAAAGTGGGGCAGGACGGGGTTCGGGTAGGGTTCGGGCAGGATACCTGGCAAGGTTGAGCCGAGTCACAAGCAGGTGCAGGGTGGCAACAGGATCACAGCACAACTTATCAAATGCACAAATCACACTTCAAGGAGAGAGAGAGAGAGAGAGAGAGAGAGAGAGAGAGAGAGAGAGAGAGAGAGAGAGAGAGAGAGAGAGAGAGAGAGAGAGAGAGAGAGAGAGAGAGAGAGAGAGAGAGAGAGAGAGAGGAGAAGAGGGAGTGACAGGGGGTGAGAAAGAGAGCGTCAGAAAAGAAGAAGAAGAAGTGAAAGAGCAGAAGCTAAAGCCCTGGCCATCCAAGATTGAACCACCCCATTACCGCTGACATAGCACTATACTGCTGGTGTACTATGCGAGAAAGGTCGCTGGCCAAGCTGCTGCTGTTGCTGTTGTTGCCTTTGCTGCTGCTGTTCATGCTGCTGTTGCTGGGATGACTGAGAAGATGGCTGCTGCTGTTGAGGTACTTGCGCTTGCGATGACGACGACGATGCTGCGGCTTGGTGCTGCTGCTGCATGGATGAGGAGCGTTGCTGCTGCTGTTGTGCCTGCTGCTGCTGTTGTGCCTGCTGCTGCTGTTGCATGGGATGGGCATTGGCTGCCGCTGCTGCTACCACAGCTGCCGACATGGTCATCTGTTGCCTGTAAGCTGCTGCTGCCGCCGCTGCACTCTGCATGGCGTTGAGCGAGGACGGCGAACGGCCACCGATGACGCCAAACGAACCATAGTTGCCGCTAGCCGCGGCGGGCATGGTTCGGCCGCCCAGGACTGGCGGACCATTAGCGCCTCCTCCACCGTTGATGCCGCTGGAGTGCGGCTGCTGCTGCGACGAACGGCGCGGGTTGAATATCTGCGGGAGATTGGACCGTGCTGGCCCACCCTGCGGGCCCGACGCTGAGCCGGCAGCAGCTGAAGCGGCACCAACCGCCTGACTGGATTGGTGATAGGGCTGGTGTTGATGGGGAAACGAGAGCGGAGGTTCATTGTTCGAGCCACCACCCATGCCACTAGATGTGCTATCAGCAGCGGCACCGCCAGTGGAGGCAGTACCTCCGCTGCCACCGCCGCGTACAAACCCGGCAGGACCAGCGCTGGGACGCTGGAACGAGTCGGTCACGATGTCAGCACTGGACGCACCACTGCCGCTTCCTCGCAGGTACGGTGACTGGTGGCCCATCAGAGATGCATTCATACTGCCGACTGCAGCACTACCACTACCACCGGCACCGCGCATTACCTGCTGCTGGCCAGCTCCGAACAACTGCTGCTGCTGTTGTTGTTGCCGCTGCTGTTGCTGTTGTTGTGGCGAGCTAGGTCTCTGTGAGAGCTGGCCGACATTGGCACCAGCACCGGTGCCTGCACTGGTGTGGGAGAGATGATGATGATGCGGTGGCTGACCTTGGTGTTGCTGCTGTAGGAATGGCAATGAGTTCTGGGCATGATGCAGCGTGTGCTGCTGCTGCTGTTGCTGCTGCAGTGACCCAGGTCTCTGCGAGAGCTGCCCGACATTCCCGCTACCACCGTTGGTCGCATTGCCGTGGGACAGATGATGATGATGCGGCGGCTGGCCCTGCTGTTGCAGGAACGTGAGCGGATTCTGTGCATGATGTAGCGCGTGCTGGTGCTGCTGCTGTGATTGCTGTGTTGAGCCAGACGGCGGTTGAATGAGTTGCGAAGAGTCGGCGGTGTCATGCATGAACTGGCTACCAATGTGACTGCCAGATTGTGCTGACGTTGACGCTGCTGCCGTCGCTCTTGACATCATAGTGGCCGCGGTCGCACTGTCAGGGTGCAGCGGGAATCCCTTCAGCGAGCCTGGCATCGTCATGCCGCCACCGGTTCCCGGTGCCGACCAGTCGGCCAGTGAGCGAGAGCCAGGCATGCCGCCAACGTCACCCGGTGATCGTGAGCTGCTGCCCCCACCGCCGCCACCACGCGAATACACTGACGATGCTGACGACGTCGAGACGACGTTGCTTCTCCGCGACCCAGGTTGCATGATATCCACGCCGCCCAGCGAGGCTACGTTGGCACGGTGATCCGAGACTACGGGCCCGTGGATGCCGAACGCGTGCTGCCCGTTGCTGATGCTGCCCGTGTTGCCGCCGGGGATGGAGGAGCCTGGCGCACCGTTCATACGCATGTTGAAGCCGGGAGCAGCCGCCGGGGGCATAGCGCCACCGGAAGCACTGCCGGAGTCCTGCTGGTGTTGATGGTTGCTGAACTGAGATGACGCTGCAGCCGCCGCTGCTGTACTACTACCAGGCATAGGTCCCGCTGACTTTTGCTGCCCCCAGCCGGTCTGCGCTTGCGGTGGCAGGCGCTGCGACGGGTGTGGATAGCCACCGGGGCTGGCGATGCCCGCGGCGGTACCAGCGCCGCTCCCTACGCCCACGCTTCCGCCGCCCACGCTGCTGCCGTCCAAGTGACGCGGTCCCGAGTCGCTCTCGCCGGCACTACTGTTGTCGAACATGGCGCCGTGGGGTGGCTGGTCCGGCGTCTGGTTGGTCCAGCGGGGGTCGGAGAGAATCGACACTCCGGAGATGGCACCGCCGTAGCGTTGCTGTGACGATTGAGCCAAATCACTGCCACCGCCGACGGTGTGCGACGTTGCGCGGCCAAAGTCGGACGAGCTGGCACCGACAGTTGCCGTGGCGATCGAGCCGCCTTGCGCCGTGGTCGCAGTCGTTGGCCCGGGCCGTGCCGCGAACCACTGCAGCTGCTGTGCTTGCTGCTGCTGCGGCTGGTGGTGGTGGTGATGGTGGTGGTGTGACTGAGAGTGCTGCCAGGTTGTGTCACCGCCGCCCAGCTGAAGGCCAGGCGCACCCATGGTAACGGCACTCGGAGTGGCAACCGTGCCGACGGCACCACCACTGCCAGGCATGATGTCACGTGACGTGTTGTTCTGCTGCTGCTGGTGGTGATGATGGTGATGCGGCTGCTGTTGTTGTTGCTGTTGTACTGACGGGTGGTGAATCGGTGCATGCCATGACGGGGCACCCATACCAGGTGCGGGAGAACTGGTTGCCGACGATGACGACGGCTCGATTGTTTCTATACTGGAACCAGGCGCTGTGGATACCGGTGCTGGCGCTGTTCCTCCGGACGAGTCACCGAATGAAACGCCCAGCGAACCACCCAGCTGCACTTCGGCGAGGCGGCGAGCGAGCGGATTAGTCGGATCTGAAGAGTGCGGCGAAGCCTGCTGCTGCTGAGGTGGCGCTATGTGACCGACCGGGCTGATGACTCGCGGTGACATCATCGCTGGCATCGAGGTCGTGACACAGGATGCCGTTGAGGGTGGCAGCATTGACGAAACCGACGAGGTCATCAGCAGAGTTGAAGAACTCTCCTCTGGCTGCTGAACATTGCTGGTGCTGGTGCTGCTAGTGGACGCGCACATGCCGGCCACACTTGATGAAGGCGACGTTAGAGAAGCGCCAGCGGTGGATACTTCAACGCTGCTGCCGCTGACCTGGGTCACGTGTGCATGCTGCTCGCCTCTGCTCTCCTTGTCGGAGCGTTCCATCGAGCCTGTGCTGGGTTTACTGGCGGCCACCGCAGCTGTTGGCGCAACGGACGGTGCAGAACCACCGATGCCGCCGACCGACGGACGCACGGCTGCCGCAAACGACAGCGTGGTGCTGGTCTGCTTAAACGCAGCCGACGCCGTCTCTCTGGACGCAGACGCTTCTCTGGAGACCGTACCGCTGACGGAATCGGTTCCGCTTCCGGCTTGGCTTAGCGCAGAGCTAGTCATGTGACCAACGGGGCTAATCGCCCGTGATGTCATCGGCGTTGACATTGATGTAGTCGCACAGGACGCGGAGGAAGGCGGCGGCATTTGAGAGACGGTCGAGGCCATGAGTAGTGTGGAGGAGTTTGCCTCTGACTGGTGAACACTGCTGCTACTAGCGGCGGCTGACATGCCGACCGAGCTCGCCGAATGTGACGTGAGAGACAGGCCAGAGGTAGAGACTTCCACAGTGCTGCCGACTTGGGCCACGCGAGCACGCTGCTCGCTTCTGCTTTCCTTGTCGCTGCGTTCCGCTGAGCTCTTGCCTGGCTTGCTGGTGACTACAGCAGCTGTTGGCACAGCCGTCGCCGCTGGTACTGAACCACCGATGCCACCACCACCGGCCGAAGGACGCACTGCAGCCGCAAACGATAGTGTGGTGCTGGTCTGCTTAAACGCAGCCGATGCTGCCTCTCTGGGCGCAGCTGCTTCTCTGGAGACCGTACTGATAGCATCGCTTCCGCTGCCAGTTTGACTGCGGGCAAAGCCACCAGCGGCGGCATCACTCGACGCACCGGCGGACGATGACGAAACGTTGCCAATTGCGGCTGCTGGGCCCATGTCGTCCGCACCGGGTGCGGAAGAGCTACCACTGCCAGCAGCAGCAGCGAAGGACGATGACACATTGTAGGCAGGGGCCGCCGCTGGTGCAGCACCGCCGGTGGCGTAGGACAGCGCGGACGAGAGGTTAGACGCTGCCACCGCCGCCGCTTCAAACTCCTTGTCGTTGCTGAGCGCCTCGATGATGAGCGACTGCGCCTTGTTGAGCTGCTTCGAAGTCCCCTTGATGGTGACGTTGCGGTCAGGTGCACGCTGCTGCTGACGACCAACGTTAATCTGGGCACCTACAATAAACAAACAAACAAACGAATAGACAAACAATGACAACAAGCTCAGGCCGTGATCCTGACACAAACATCGAGCAAAGGACCATGGTCACGGCACAGCACAGTTTGGTTGGAGATCGTTGAGAAAGAACGAGTTGTTGCGCGGGTGTGCGGACACACATTGGCAGAAAACCTTCTTGCAGCGTGATCGCTGCGTAAATTAAAGTTGTGCTCGGTGAAATCCGACCCAAAGTGCATATCTGGCGTCCTGAACTTGCACGACCCTCGATGCCCTGGAAGTGGTACGAATGCGGCTGAACCAACACATGTACAAGACTAGCACAGTGATGCAATCGGAACTGGTCAAAGGCACCAGTTTTGTAACTGGGGTCGGATTTCTGTGAGCACAGCTCTACGCAGTACGTGGTACAATCCAGGTTGAAACAAACCGCACCCCCCGCCACCACACACACACGGGTGTACAGACGCACGGACATGCACATACATGTACACGCACGCAGGGCATGCACAGCGGGTGAGCGCGTACATCTGGCTAACACGAGCATACGGCCATGCACACGTAAAACAGCACATACGCGCTAAGCACCTCGGCGCCGTCGCAGGAAAACTCACCAGATTGCTCCGTGATGGCGTTGATCTTGTGGCCAGCCTTGCCGATGATACGCCCGACCAGAGTGTTCGTGATGCTCAGCGTGATCGTACGTGTTGTGCTGTTGGCTGATGGTAGCACCGAGCTAGTCAGCAGAACACCAGGGGCGATGGCGACAGGCTTGCTGGACGTCATGCTGGTGATGATGCTGCCACCGTTAGCTCCTCCGCCTGTGCCGTTCGCACCGGCGCCGGATATCACGCTGGACTGCAGTCCTGAGTACAGTGCAATATGGGGAAGATGACACACACACACACACACACACACACCCACACACACAGAAACGCGCACACACACAGAAACGCACACACACACACACGTGACACATACGGTATTCTTCAAAAAGAGCCTGGTCTCGACCAACGAACCTAAAGCAGGGCTGAGTCGGGTAGCATTCTTTTCAGGTATCGGGTTCGGGTAGTTTTCCACGGGTAGCAGAGGTACCCGATCGGGTAATATTTCCATGGTAACACCACAATGCACCCCTTCCCTTACACACTGGGTAGACATGCGGAGTATTTAATACATGAATTTGTACACGTGCACTGTACATGATGTCATCTGCGACTTCGGATTTCCGGGTACTATTCTGTACCCGTCTACCCATGCACACAACTACTCTAAAGGAAAGTTTCTTTCATGAAAGACGAAAATACAGAAGTACAACGGCTGCAAACCATGCTGATTTGCAGGAAACGGCTAAGTTCTAGCACTCACCACTTGTTGCTGCGCTATTCACGGCAGGCATGGTAGAGGATTGCTCACGAGAGTTACGATTGGAGCCCCCACGAGTGACCTGCTGCCACCCTGAAGAGTGCGAGGAGCTGGTCGTGGATGAGCTGCTGTTGCCTGAACTGCCACTGGCACCCGCTGTTTGATTACCGTGCTCCAGGGACGCTTGCTGGCGATGCTGCCGTTGCTGACGATGCTGTAGTACGCAGCATGGGACACACGGAGAAGAGGAATCAGCAAAAGAACATAACCGACCACGAGTGTGCAACTCCTACATAGCCTGTCGGACTGACAGAATTTCAAGCCGACGTCATTTTTTAATGATGCAATTGTCCTCGCACGAGTGATTTACGGGGTGTCAACGCATCACTCACACGTATTCCATGTTCAAGATCGAAAAGGATTTGTCCCCCACACGTCCAGGATAGGGGCATGGTTGATTGGGCGAATCCCGAGCCAGTGTGGTCAGAGTGAGCGTGATCGTTTGGTTGAATCCGGAGTAGGTGTACTTGGAGTGGAATCCGACCACAGTGGCCCCCACACCGGGAGTGGCCGGAGTGGAAATGGACTTTGCCGTTTTTGGACAGCTTTCACAGAATGTTTGTACGATATGCGTACACTGTGCGTACTACACCCTTGTTTTGTTCGATTGGGCCAGCGTTGCGCGGACCACACCGCCTGCTCGCACTCAATCCAGATTCGCCAATCGATGACACCCTAAGTGAACAAAAACGAATTGCATCATAAAAATGATGTCAACTCGAAATTCTATCTGGACCGCACCCATAGTCGAGTTCCACGCTCTTGGGGGAGGGGTTGTGTACTCTTGGTGTCAGTTGCAGCAGATAACACCCACCCACACCCACACACATCCGAGCGAAAAAAATGGGGGTGCGGTTTATACTCCGGAAAATACGGTAACTACTCAGCGTTATTTGCATCAACAATAAAAAATAAATCCACACAAGGGGTGAATTGTGTAAGTATGTTAAGTGCTTTCTCACCGAAGAGGATGTGGAGTTTTCGAACCAGTCAAGTTCATCGTCGACGTACGCTGCAGGGCCCACGTCTCGCGTTGAATTCTCACCGGACAATGACTCGGCCACACTCTGTGAGAGGGAGTGAAAGGGAAGGGAGGGAGAGAGAGGAAGAGGGAAAGAGAGACAGACAGAGAGAGAGAGAGAGAGAGAGAGAGAGAGAGAGAGAGAGAGAGAGAGAGAGAGAGAGAGAGAGAGAGAGAGAGAGAGAGAGAGAGAGAGAGAGAGAGAGAGATTCAAAAGAAATCTTGGAAGGTGACTCTATTGGCTATTGAACTGCCCAACGGCCGACACCCCCTGAAATCGGCTTGGACTTGGAAATGATCCCACGTATGGGTTCACCACACCTCAGTAAGTGGGTGAGGACAAGGTTTGGAAAAACAGATCACACTGGGTTCACATCAACACACACACCATTGGACGCCCATCGCCGGAGGCGATGATAGCGATGCTACAGCAGAAGCCATAGCAACTTGTGCTGGGATTGCACCATTCAACAGCTTGCAAGGCTGAAGAATTGACCGCCACTATTCAGCCTGGTCTACACCACACAGCTATGAAGTGGCTTTTTCTGGCCAGTGAATCCCTACTTTTTGGTCTTTCTTTATTTTTTTCCCGCACACACATCACACCACATACTCCGGCATGCACTGGCTGACACACACACACACACACACACACACACACACACACACACACACACACACACACACACACACACACACACACACACACACAAACACACACACACACACATACACACATACATACTTACACACACACACATTCACACATACCTGGGACGATGTGCTAACACCAGTGGAAGAGCGCACGGAGCTGACAGCACTAGTCGCAGCCGCAAGCGACGACGATGTGCCTGCAGTGCTACCCGACACAGCGCTGCTCTGAGCTCCAGCCGTGGACGTATTACCGGCGCGACTGGCCGAGGCAGAGGAGCGACTGCTAGACACGACGACAGTATCACTACCCGAGCTGAGGCGCGATGCATTGCTCTGGTTCGTTGACTGTTGGTAGGACGTCTCGGCGGTGGTGCGAGCACGAGAGTTCGGAGCGCGCGCCGGAGTGCGAGCAGAGCGTGGCGCCGCCAGAGACATGGCGGCTGCTTTCACTCGTGCATCGTCTGCCTTGCCGGTTTCCGTGCTGCTGCTGCTGCCGCCATCATGAGATGAGGACTTGGCACTGCTGGATCGTGATGTCGTGCTCGAATTAGCACCCGCGGACTGGCCGGCGCTGCTGGACGAAGAAGTGCTGGATTTGGTCCCAGCTTTGCGCACCTCGCTGGGCACGTCGGACTGGGGCGGCGAGGAGTAGCTCGCATCACCGTGGTGACGAACCGAGTCTCCGGTTACGGAAGAGCCGGAGCTCGACGAGGACGATTTGGACGACGTAGATGCCGCCGACGAGGTCACGGGTTGCGCTGGTGCCGTTTCCACACGCGCTGCGGCCGCCGTTCCACCAGAGGACGACGATGTGGCGGTGGCGGCTGAAGACTTGCCTTTGCGTCGGCGACCCTTCTTGCGTGCGCGATCGTCTTCGCTGGCGGCTGAGTCGGCACTCGCCTGCTGGCCCGTGATGCGCGCTACTGCACTGTTAGCTTCTAGAGCCACAGTGCCCGAAATAGAACTGGTACCTGTAGTGGCGGCAGCAGCATCAGCGTGAAGATTGCGCTGGTCGAGGGTGCTGCTTGCCTGGCTTGTGGAGGAGCTGCTGGACGAGGTTGAGGTTGACACGGTGTTGGTGATGGCGGCTGGCTGTGCAGCCGTGAGGGATTTGAGTGCCGATCGGAGCGTTTCCTTGTTGGCCGCCCCAACAGCAGACCCTCTCTCTTTCTTACTCTCAACGACTGCTAATTGCAGGCTTGCTTCCTCCTGCTCCTTAGCTTCCAGCTCCCTGCGCGCCTCCTCCTGCTGCTCGCGTTTACGCTTCTTTCGCTTGTCACGTTTGCGAATGGCTGCCTGACGCTTACTCTCCTTGTACGCTTTCTCGGCGTCTAGCTCATTGAACAGCAGCTGAGCAAGCACACACACATACACACGTCCACGTATGCACACAAACACACATTCTCATAACGTGGCCTACAAGAAGGAGCAGTAGCAGGAGCAGCAATGACTCAAAGCAGCAGCAGAAACACCAACAGCAAGGCCAACCTGAACATAAGCAATACAAAGGATAATAACAAAACAACAAAACAAATCAAAAGGTCAACAATTAAAGGAACAACAAAACAAGAACAAAACAACAAAGAAAACAACAACGACGACGACGACGACAACAACAACAACAACAACTCTCTCATTGGCAATGGTGCCACCGTGAGAATAAAGAATTCAAACAACAAGGACAACAACGACGACAACAACAACAACGACAGCAGCAGCAGCAGCAGCAACAACAACAAGATCAATCATGCATTGAGTACCTGAGCACATTGTTCTGCAGCATGAGTCTTCTTGGCCTTGGCCGCCATGATCAAATCAGTACACTTCTCACGCAATGCCTTGATCTCAGCCATTTTCGAATCGGGTGGACAAGGGGCCGAAAGCGCTTTCTGTGGTGATGCAAGACGAGATGATACCGATTACAAGTAGAACATGACCAAGACAGGGATAAGCACACACACACACACACACACACACACGAGCGAACGATGTATGAGTGTAAAGGCACAGACAGACACACAGACACACGAGCGCGCACAACGTCGAGATGAACAGCACAAACAACACCGAAATGAGACACTGAAATTTCAAACAAGCCAATAGACGCTGAACTATGGGAAGCATGGACTGTAGCCGTTACAGGATATTCCACAAGAAATTTATCCCGATCTGGTTCAATCAGATGACCCAAAGATCAAAATACAACGAACGTTAGACCAGCATGCGAAAGGGAGGCAAACAGCCTGGAAGATGCAGTAAAACTCTTTCACAACTCACTGAAGCATTACTCAGTAAAGTTCACCCCCCCCCCCCCCCTTTCACACACACACACACATGCATTTTGCCCCCCCCCCCCCCCCCACACACACACACACCGACACCCCCCCCCCCCCACACACACACGCAAACGCGCACACACACACACGCGTGTATTTTGCTTACAGAGCAGTCGTCGTCACTCGGAAACGCCTTGACATACTTCAGGAGCCACTCAACCACATTAACATGACCATTACGGAAAGACGCAAGCAAAGGCGTAACACTACGCGAGTCTGGAACCTCTGTGTCAGCTCCCTTGTTATACAGCATGAGAGAGATATCCAAGTGTCCTTCTCGGCAAGCCAAGAAGAACGGTGTGGCTCCCTTCTTCGTGCGCACCTGCACAAGGACACAAGCGGAAGCAAGCAAACAGCCAAGTTGCCATACATGAACACAATATACACAAACACATGCCGGCACACTCGCGCCCACGCGCGAACACACACATACACACACACAAAAAACACACACACACAAAAAACACACGCGGAAGCAAGCAAACAGCCAAGTTGCCATACATGAACACAATATACACAAACACATGCCGGCACACTCGCGCCCACGCGCGAACACACACATACACACACACAAAACACACACACAATGTGGCACGTACAACGATCGCACCCAACCGCCACGAAAAACAAATCGCGTGATACGCGTGTGCATGTACAGTGTGATCATGGTCATGTAGACACGGCAATAACCCAACCCATCACTTACGTCAACATTTCCACCGCGCTCAAGCAGCAGCTTCACCAGGTCCATGTGTCCCTTCTCCGACGCCAGCGTCAACGGATTCTCTTTGCTGCTGTTCGGGAACGGCGAGTTGACAGAGCAGCCGTACTCCAGGAGCAGACGTACAACTTCAATGTGGTTCTCGCGACACGCCTAACACAGAAACAAATCATGTCATGATTCGCTGTTAGTGTTTCAGCACAAAACTCGGACGGTGACCCACTCACCAATCAATCTAGAGTCTGAATCCTGATTGTTTTCTGCACTACTTCTTCCTAATTTCACTGTTACATGTATATTGCACATTGTCTCCACCGTTAAACATTGCAAGAATAAAGTACCAGGTATACACAAATGTCGATTCAGCTTAGGGGTCGTCGCAAAAATTTTCACGAACGAACAACGTTCATTTCGTACTCGGACCCCTCATCTTCGTCTGAAAGGAACACAGATTGCTATGCTGAACGACGAAAATCGCATGCATGTACATGTCATATGAACAGCGTCGGTCGACTTGCGATTTTGCCCCCCCCCCCCCCAAAACGAATCATGTTCGTTTCAGGGACGACAAAAAAACTTTTGCGACGACCCCTTATCTTATTGATTGCAGTTATCAGGTCTACGTAGAAGAGTCTCATATTTCCTTTTTTCATCTTCAGGTAAACTTATATTCTTATTTTTTACAAAGAGAAGAGAAGAGAGAGAGCGAGAGAGAGAGAGAGAGAGAGAGAGAGAGAGAGAGAGAGAGAGAGAGAGAGAGAGAGAGAGAGAGAGCATGAGAGGGCGCAAGAGAAAGCGGGTATGAAAGACAGAAAGAAAGAGAGAACGTAATAGCATTCACTTCTCGAAGGGAAGCAATTACATGTACATTGTAGATACAAGAGGTGTGTACGGTCCAGGGAATTTTCTAGAACCGCCCCAACCGGTTTTCGACCGGTTGGAATTGTTGGCGACCGGTTGAAAAGTTACAAATCAGTTCCAACCGCCCGTACTTTTCTGTGGGTGAATGGAGCTGTGAATGGTCAAACGCTTTTTTCTGGACGGATACTTCCAGCGAAGGCGCGTGAGCTGGTACTAGGGTCACGAGTATGTACGGTTTGCTACACTCCATCAACAAGAAATCTGTTAAATTGCTGTCGAGTGCCATATTTGGGTTGTATTTTGAAAAAAATTTCCGGGGGAGGACCCCGCACCCCCCGACTCTTCATTGGACCGTAACCGGTTGGAAATTCGTCCTAGAATATACCCTGGACTACTACCGTAGTGTCATGTATTAAAGCCGTCTCTGACTCTCATATAGAAGCCTGTTTTGAATAGAAGCCTGATTTTCAAGATACACTGTCGGCACACATTAACGCCTGGTTTTAGTGTTGACATAATAGAAATGCCCGTCTTGTATAGAGGCCTGTCTCATATAGAAGCCTGCATAATTTCCCCAAAAATCAAACAAGCCGCGGCTTTTATACACGACTTTACGGTGTGTCACGCCCACAGTGAATAGGTGGGACAATCTGCTGTCTGCACACGCTTATAGCCCCGACAACCAAAGACATGCACATACGGATCAGAACCGTCACAAAGCTGTTGAAGTACATCATGATGCTGATGATTTCCTACCCACAACCAGCACGCTGGTCGGAAGACACAACATCAGGGCTTCCACTTGTTCCGATATTTCGGGCATGCGCCACTTTTTACAGGTCGCTCCAACAAACTGAAAACATTCTTCACTTCTTTGCTATAATCGTTCACGAAAGAGCCCTAATCTGTTCTTACTGGCTCCTACATTCCTAAATACGTTTATGGTTTTACGGGAGCGCTGCCACTGTACTCCTTGGCCCCTGCACGGAGGACACCTACGGACCCCATTCAGATGTCTTGGCGCAGAAAAGCGGCAGCTCTGCAACATGCAAGTTAACAGGGGGGGGGGGGGGGGGGCTGGCTGGACAGGGACATGGGTCGACAAACACCACAGATAACTAACCTGAAAGAGTGGCGTGATACCAGTCTTGGTACGACAGTCGCGGTTAGCGTTGAGCTCGAGCAGAAGTCGGGCGACGCGCGCGTGCCCTTTCCAGCAAGCCATAAACAACGGCGACTGGCCGTAATTGTCTGGAGTCTCCACCTACACAGACAGTGTAATCATACACACGCGCACGCACACACGTGCACATACAGACACACATGCGAGCGCGCAAACACACCCATGCACACACAAACACAAACAAAAAATGTGTTATGCTGAAATAGGAGAAGGACAAAATTTGTTTGTTTTTGTTTCGCTTTTTCTTTAGTTGCTGTGACAGGCCAGGGATATCATGTTCTCTGATTGCCCGTATAAGAGGCTTATTCACACACAAACACAATTACCCACAACCCCATGCATACGTGTACGTGATCACTGCGAAAAACTGGTCACGTGGGCTTCCAAGGGAGAGGCAAGATGGGCGCACACATACAAACACACGGACAAGCTGACAGGCCGACGCAAGGACAAACATGGAAAATGAGATTTTCTCAGTGTAGTCACGATGTCCAGTATAAGTGCCATAATTAGGTAAAATACCACATTCAAGAATCAAAATCCAAAAAGAACTAGTCAACTTCGCTTATAACGACACTCGGGGGGCATCAGAAAAGTGTCCTTATTCGCGAAGTGTCGTTATACCCGAAGTCTCATTATATGTATTACAGTTGGATGGGACTTTGCTCTGGGCATGGGAATTCTGTCGTTATTCGCGAATTGTCATTATATCCACAGTCATTGACTGTACTTCAAAAGTGGCATCCAAATATGGAATTAGATACTACCGCACCTACAATAAAAGGGAATTATCACTTTCCATACTCTGGAAACTGATTATGTCACATTTCGCATGTAAACTCGCTACCTGCGTGAGAAGCTTGATGTCCACCCAAATCACACTGAGTGCGTTCGATTATGCCCGCGGATCGACGTCGAAGCCATTCATGAATCGCCCCTGGCTATTCACATCACCCCGTGTGAATAGGGTGAATGGATTCCGAAACGATCCCAGAGCTCATGACATGAAATCAAACGACGAAATTCTATTCATGAATCGATTCATGGCAGTAATCGAACGCATCCACTATGAATCAATTATATTTTGTAAGCGAATAATTCTCGTAAACTGATGAAAAACTTTTTCGCAATCATCTAACGTTTGTAAAGTGCTGTCGATTGCGCACGGTTTAATATCAAAAGTATACCCCCGCCCCACATACACACCCACTCACACACACCCCAAGAGTGTGCAATTCCACTAAGGGTACTGTCCCGACGAGCATTGCGTCATAAAAATGACTTGAAATACTGTAGGACAGTGGGGTATGCGGGAGTTACACCACAGTTGATATTTGAGCCGCACCATGACAAAAGGGTGCTTATGGCAAAAATTCACAAACCAAGTTATGGACACAGCGCAATGGCTGAATTTTCACTGCTTCTGTTGCAAAAAACCGCATTCAAGAAGCTTGATAAATCGCAACGAAACTGATCAAATTCAAAAAGAAAATGTGCACTCTCAATATTGCATACTCAACTTTCAAACGAGTTTTTCGCAGTTGGATGTCGCATGCCATAAGCACCCTTCTGTCGTGTCGCGGCTCATTTTTGATTTTTAGAAGAGCCAGTGTCTCCCCCAGAAAGACATTGACCTGTCAACATTGATATAGACTTGTCAAAATTGACACTGACTTGTCAACATTGACATTGACTTGTTGACACCTTCAATAAATACACTCCAGTCTCTCTTGTCCAGACCTCCAAGTTACAGGCACCTCAGTCTACTGGGCATGCGGTGGTTGAGTTTAAGTGGAAATGCTACTAATCCGTTGCCAATTTTGTGCAAATAGTCATCTCTTATGCCAGATCTCTGGCCATTCCCCATCAAAATGTCAGTGATTCAGAGTTACGGATAGGGCTGAGTCGGGTAGCATTTTTTTCGGGTATCGGGTTCGGTTAGTTTTCTCCTGGCAGCACGGGTAGCCGATAGGGTAATGTTTTCATGGTAACACCACAATGCACCTCTTCCCTTACACACTGGGTAGACATGCGGAGTAATACATGTACATGAGTTTGTACACGTGCACTGTGCATGGTGTCATCTGCGACTTCGGGTTTTCTGGTACTATTCTGTACCCGTCTACCCAAGGTCCTCACGGGTAGCACGGGTACCCGACTACCCGTGCACACCACTAGTTATGGATATTAAAGTTATGGGCAGCGCCGGTCCCCAATTGCCCGCATAAGAGAGATATGAGTGTATATGCATATCAGCATCCACCTGGAGTCTTGTTGTGTGCATCTATACGGATATGGAAGGACGGACAGACAGACAGACACACACACATACTAACCTCAGCACCATACTCAAGCAGCAACTGCGCTACGAGTGCATGTCCTTCCCGCGTAGCCTCCATGAGCGGTGTACAGCCAGTCTTGGTCTGGTGGTCCACATTGGACTTATTGGACAGCAGCAGCTCCACGACTTCCGCATGTCCCTTCCACGATGCTAACGTTAACGGAGTGTCATCGTTCGAACCGGACGGGACATTGATCTCCGCGCCATGTTCGAGCAGCAGCTCAGTTGCTTCGACGTGGCCCTCTCGGGCTGCCAGCATCAGCGGTGTACAGCCAGCTTTGTTGTGGTGCTCGAGATCGCTGTCGTGATGCAGCAGCAACTCCACCACTTCGCAGTGGCCTTTCCAGCAAGCCAGCGTCAGTGGAATGTTGTTCTCGCTGCCAGACGGGCTGTTCAACTCGGCGCCGTACTCCAGTATCAGCATGGCCACGCTCAAGTGACCCTCGCGTGCCGCTAACATCAGCGGCGTGCAGCCATCCTTGGTGCGGTGCTCCAAGTCGCTGCGATACTCAAGCAGCAACTTGACAACCGAGTGGTGGCCTTTCCAGCACGCAGACGTCAGCGGGATGTCGTTGTTGGAACCGGACGGCACGTTCACCTCGGCACCGCGCTCCAGCAGTAGTTTGGCTACGTTGGTATGACCGCCGAGAGCAGCAAACATCAATGGGGTAAATCCTTCCTTCGTGCGATGCTCAATATCTGCACTGCGATTCAGCAACAAGCCAACCACCTCATGATGGCCTTTCCAGCAGGCAAACGTAAGCGGACTGTCCTTGTTCGAGTCGGACTGCACGTTGATCTCAGCGCCATGGTCCAACAGTAGCTCCGCCACCTGCACATGACCAGCCAACGCAGCGAACATGAGAGCTGTGCAACCATCTTTGGTCCTGTGCTCGACGTTTGCTCCTCGAGTCAGCAGTAAATCTACGATTAGGTCGTTTCCAAGCGTACATGCCCAGGTCAAAGCGCTGTCCGATGTCGACTCCGTGGGAGCATCGATCACAGAACCTCTGTCCAGAAGCAGCCTAGCTACTTCGACGTGACCCTGGCTACATGCTTCTAACAAAGGAGTGTTTCCAGCTTTGTTTCTGTGATTTACATGAGCACCGCTCTCCAGAAGAAGCTCCACGATATCCTGTTTGCCCTGCCGACACGCCAAGCTAAGCATTTCATCAAGACTGACTTCAGCTTCCGTCACAGAACACAAGACGCAGTCTCCTTCGCTGGACCTCAGGTCCAATTTTTCCTCGGTCTCCATTACACAGAATTGCTCGCGGACGAGCTGCGCAAAGAAGCCAACTTGGAAAGATTTAGCAGCGGGGAACTTATCTTTGTGTGCTCCACCTCACACCAAACACTGGTTTCGAAAACCAAATGGACAGAAGTAGTGGTTAGCTACTTTCACCCAGGAAATATCTAATCTTTCAACAACTAGAGAGCCGGAAAAGTAGAACGAGGTCTCGAGACGAACATCGAATACAAATCTCTTGCAAAATAAAACAAAAAGCAGGAGCCATACAGAATGCAGGAGTGCCGCCTTTGCAACCGCGAAATCGCCCACTGGCCCGAGATCTGTTCCGGATCATGCTCATGGTCAGCTCAGCTCGCGAGCTCGGTGGAACGAGTTGTAGATCTACCATGTACCAGTCACAGTGTCAGCCTAAAAAAAACTGTGCAGTGCTAGTAGTAGTAAATCAATCATTTACTTGTTGGTGACGTAAGCGAAATATGAGTGTGAAAATGAGTACAGCTGACAGTATCGTACCGGTACTACATGCAGTGCTGCCAAATAATTATTTTCGCCCAAAATCGGACACCCTGGCCTTCACCGCCAAGGCTGGCCACACATGCACATGGTGCGAATTTTTCTCCTCGGCAATTTTTTTACAGAGAACTCAATATCGCCTAAAACACCATGAAAAAATTCGCTTCGTTGCCATGGTAACCCCGGAGTTGTCATGAATTTTGTAATGATGAGTGTGGTCGCACACTGACTCTGTCCAGACTGTCAGCGTACATGCCATCCAGCCTAATCCAGGCATGTTTCTTTGCACTTCCACAGCCAAGTGCTAGCCTTTTTAGACGCAAATGTACAGGGATTTGTGCCTTCAGGTGCGCTGAAAAGTGAAAGTACAGGACTTCTGCGTAGGAAAGTAATGATCTTCGACATTTTGGCTGCTTTTCGGATGTTTCCCTTTTCGGACCGGTTTTCGGAAGAGCCTTCAAAATCGGACACTGTCCGAAAAATCGGACGGTTTGGCAGCTGTGTAACATGGTACTACTAGTACGGTATGCCAAAAAAGAGACAATTTTCCGGCTTCATGAAAGATGTCATCTTCATCTAGAACATTATTATTCTAGATGATATTCTAGATGAAGATGACATCTTTCATGCTGGTGTGTTATGGTCTTGACCCGAGGCAATGTTTCAGAAGCTGTGAGGATCGCCTTCCCTTTTAGTTTCGAGGAAAGCTCCAAGCGATTATCATTTTCTTCGACTTCTCCCCGGAGTTCTCAAAGGTGACGGAAATCGTCGTCAAAAAGTAAAAACCTATTGTAGATTTTGTGCCGAACTCCCCTCCAAGCCACCATTCATTGACTACAATGTAGTGACGGTCACGCCCACGCCTACAGCAGATGCCCAGCTCCAGAAAACAAAACAAAACAGATCGGCCCGACAGCAAGGCAAGTCGCCGCTCAGCAGGAAGTTGGAATTTTCATACCTTGCCGTCTGCAAGTTCGAACCAGTGCAAACCTTCCAGACATGACCCGGGCCGATCTCCATGGAGTATCCTGAATGAGTTGGCACTTGGCAGCACGCACAACGGTCCTGACCATGCCACACGTTTCTCTTCGCCGTTTGCTGCCCTCACCGGCCTGCAGTCGTTTTCTTCACGGCTGGAGTCGAACGGGTAAATCGATTACCCATTGCCCTTACTGGCCTTAGCACTCACAACGAGACTAGATCCGACCCGAGAGACGCCTTTTTCTTTAGAGAGCTCCTGTGAAGTGTAGGCACCCTACCACTCTGATACTTTTACTTTGAAGTAAAAACAATGAAAGTGAGTCATTGGGTCGTTTGTGGAAATAGTCTGGACAGCGACAATTACGACAACAGCAAGGATTACGATGACGACACCACTACCACCCCACCCCACGCACACACTACATTGTCACATAGCAAAACTCAACCATTCGCTACCCTGTTGTTGAGCACTCGTGCTCGTTCGGTCTCGCGAATCCAAATAAAATCAATTAAACTATGGCCACGTCCTGTTTAACACATGTTTGTTGGAACGACCTTAAAAAGTAGCGCTATTTTTAGAGCGCAGAGAGACACACAACTGCTCGCTGCGACGCTGGCAGCCGTCTGTAAGGTCCAGCAGATAATGCTCCGAACATGTTTGTATAATGCTTATCATAATGCTCCAAAAACTACCTCATAATGCTGATTATAATGCTTCAACAAGGGCTATAATACTCTTGGTTTGGGTCAGAAAAGAAAGCCTGCACATATTTAATCTGCCGTTGAATCGGGCACAATATTTTCCACAAGCTCCACCACCTTGTAGCACTATAAGACATACCGGTAATCGATTCGCGTGTGCCTGCTCTCCATTGCAGCTTTGATGCAGAGCTATGGCTGAATAGACTATTATAGTGTATACCCGGCCGGTATCATTATACTATCGCGGCATTATCCACGGAGTGACAGGTGTAAACTATGTTAGAGATCATTGGGATGAGGTTTTTCGAGGTTTATCATGGCAAATGGCAGTACTGCCTGCAGACAAGCTGTCACTGCATTGGTTCTGTGAATAATCTTTTCATCTGAAACAGCAGATATTTGGCTAGTATTGGATCCAGATCCCTTCCATTTGCGGTGAGCGTGAGAACATGTGGCCAGATCATTTTGCTGCTCTACTGCCTTTGCTTTATAGTCTCCTTCTCCTTGTGGTGTTGCATAGACAACTGGGCGGCGACATTGACAAGAATACTCTTCTTTGTTGATAGCAGGCACGCGCTGCTGTAGAGTGCTCACAACGACTTGGTGCTGAATCCATGAATGATTCTGGTTCCTTTCGAGCCAGTTCAGCTGGACTCCGCAAAGGCAGTTCGTCGGAACAAAACCCATCTCTTTCAGCCTGGTCCAAATGTATCAAAGGATCGGCGTCTACTTCAGTATCGTTACTAGCCTAGTAACGCTATCTTCAGAGTCTGAGGCACAACGGGAAACTTCTCTTCGACTTTTCGATATTCACTTCGCCTCCATGACTCTCTATGTTTTCGACAAAACAGTTCCCTCCTTGCAAATCCTTGTTGCGAATTTTTGCAACAGCTTTGGTTGGGCGCACGTAGATAGTCATTGACCTGACTACAATCCCTGTAGTCATTGACCTGACTACAATCCCTGTAGTCATTGACCTGACTACAATCCCTGTAGTCATTGCTACACGTACATGACGATTGTAGATCTACATCACGTGATAACAAGTGCTAGGTGTGTACACAAAGGGATCCACGCTCCAGTAACCTGGTAACCATGGTAACACGAGGAGGGTTGCACCTACAGTGTAGTCTACCTTCAGCTCATTAGTGCCTATTATCATTATTATAAAAGCTGGGATTTCCCGATATAATCCACTAATGCACTATGAAAGTCTGAATGCCACTCAAATCTCACAAAATGCTTCCTTTTTTCCTTTCTATAAATACTCCACGATGCTCTGATGCTCGGATAGTCACATAATGCCGAATAAAATGCCGGCATTATCCGCTGGGCCCTATTATTATTATTTATTTTTTTATTTTTTAGGGATTCCCCAAAGGCCGAAGCCTAAAATCAAGGGGGTCTCCGAGAATAAAATTTATATACGTGTACAAACCCTAGGCCTCTGTACTCATGGTAAAGCTTCTTGTACGGGCAAAATGAATTGCACATATCACCAAACAAATTCTCTATACTCATGGTACTGATGTAATGAAAGTAAGCATATTTTCACTGTGTTCGCCCTGTGATACTGCCATATTCCGAGTGACTGCACAGGGAAGTCATTATTTCCCACCGCAAGGCGCCTTCGCGTTCTTGTTATTGGGAAACTTGCCCGTTAGAATCTGCGAAGTAAAATAAACAACAACAACAACAGCAAGGATTGCCATTTTGTAGCACCATCAGCACTGCTAGCCTTATAACTAGCATCATCGCTGCAAAAAAGCTAGCAGTGCTAGTATAGTAGCACAATTTCCCGTGATATTATTATAACTAGCACTATCCGCCGGTGTCTACCCGCGACACAGCTCACCAGGTCAAGGTGTGGTACATGGTACGTACTCGTTGCTGGGAGTAGGCATTGGCGGATAATGCTCGAAAAGGTGGCAGATTCTGCTCGAAAAGCAGTGAAATTGGCAGAACCATACAAACCTTATGGCGGGCAATTCCTCGAATTCTGCTCCATTTCTTTATCCACATACCAAACATGCATGAACCTTACCAGAAAAAGTACCGAATTCTGCCAATTTTTCTGCCGGCATTATCCGCAAAGGCCTAGCTAGGAGGCGGGTTCATCACACCCCGGCAAGGCAATTTACCCAAATCTCACCCCCAGACTTGAAGAATTGCTTTTTTTTTATTTACTTGAAAAAGCACATAACCACCAGGAAAGCTGACAAAGAAAAAAAAGTAAGAAAAGACAGATAAAAAGAGAGCTGAGAGAGAGAGAGAGTTGGGGTACGGTTAGGGGAGGACGAGACATTGAATGGTGGTCGCCACAGTCACAGATAGTAGCAGTGCTGGTGAGGCTACAGGCACTCCACTGACCATTAGGTCTCAGTATCGCCATGCCGGTAACGCACCAAGAGACAAAAACGGAAGAAAATCTGAAGCGCAATACATGAATGGTAATTACAATATAGGTAACAGGGAGAGTGGTGACCAAGAGAGGACAGTATAGACCGTTAGTATGGGGTGCTTCAATGCACATCCCCAAACCGAGAGGTGCGATCTGGAAAGAACAGTGAGACGATCAACATGATGGGCTTCAAAGCAACATGATGGGCTTCAAAGCACGTCCCAAGACCATGGCTGGTCTGAAATGTGTTTGTTGACACCTTTTTTAAAAGCTGTGAGTGGAGAGTGATTGGCCAGACGGGGAAAGACGTCCTCGGGGAGGCTGTTCCACAATTCAAGGAAACAGTACGGGAAGGAACGTCGAAGGTAATCGGGACTGGTGCTGGGGGTGGTGTTTAAGAGCTGTTCCCGGTGCTGGCGCTGAGCATAATGCTGCTGGCGGGTTCGAACAGTATCGGCCCGTGGTTTTGGGGGAGGGCGCATGCGTGTCAGACGGGGTGTGCTCTCTGCTATCTCTACAAAATCCACTACCTGACAGGCTCACAGATGCTAACCCGAATGCTGCCCCCCCCCCCCCCGCCCCTCCCAAGCAGTACCAGACCACGACCAACATCCTGCCAACACCAGGCAGCAGGCGCGGGTGGCGGCCGGCCACCGCTACCAGCTGCAGTCTGATATCCCAGCCAATTCTCGCAACAACGTCCGCCGGTCGTTCCCTGAAGGAGTGCTGGACACCTGGAACCAGTTGCCTCGCCAACACCTCCTGGATCAGCCCGACCAGGAGAGGTTGCAGTCCTTCAAGTGCAGCGTCCACCGATTCCTGCGCTCGAGCCACTGGGACTGGGCGACCGACCGGCTGTAGGGACTCGGCGTGGTGGTTTTCTGGACGTTACTGTGAGAGAGTGAGTCTGTGCACAAATATTATGTATGATTACGCGTCTGCGTGAATGTGCACGTGTACGTGTGTGTGTGTGTGTGTGTGTGTGTGTGGTGTGTGTGTGGTGTGTGTATGTGTATGTGTATGTGTATGTGTGTGTGTGTGTGTGTGTGTGTGTGTATGTGTGTGTGTGTGTGTGTATGTGTGTATGTGTGCGTGCGTGCGAGCATGTGTGTGTGTGTGTGTGTGTGTGTGTGTGCGCGCGCGCGTGAGTGTGTGGGTGGGTGCACATGGTTGGTATGTGGTGTTTATGTGAGCGTATGATAATAATCTCTTCAATAATATCAAATATCTTTATTTTCAAGATTACCCAACGCCGCCGAACGCCTATCAGGTTGATTTCCTATTTGAACATGCGCATATGTGTGTGTGTGTGTGTGTGTGTGTGTGTGTGTGTGTGTGTGTGTGTGTGTGTGTGTGTGTGTGTGTGTGTGTGTGTGTGTGTGTGTGTGTGTGTGTGTGTGTGTGTGTGTGTGTGTGTGTGTGTGTGTGTGTGTGTGTGTGTGTGTGTGTGTGTGTGTGTGTGTGTGTGTGTGTGTGTGTGTGTGTGTGTGTGTGTGTGTGTGTGTGTGTGTGTGTGTGTGTGTGTGTGTGTGTGTGTGTGTGTGTGTGTGTGTGTGTGTGTGTGTGTGTGTGTGTGTGTGTGTGTGTGTGTGTGTGTGTGTGTGTGTGTGTGTGTGTGTGTGTGTGTGTGTGTGTGTGTGTGTGTGTGTGTGTGTGTGTGTGTGTGTGTGTGTGTGTGTGTGTGTGTGTGTGATGTGTCCTAGCTCACTTATAACTATTATTATGTTATAAACGTAGATCATGTCCATGATGCCTTTCCTCTGTGCAGGCCGACCGCACTATTATTATTACTTCTACATATGCATCACATATTATGATCATGCTGGCTCCATCCCTTATCTCCTAAGCTACCCCCCCCCCCCCCCCCCCCGTTGCGTCTGCCCAGTGTTGACTCCGAGACCCATGGTCGGACGAGCTGCCCAGGCCTCACCACCACTGCCGTTTCCGTGCTGCCTTCTCGATACATACGTATGTACACTGTATATCATGTGCACATTCACATGTCTGAAGGTTTGTGGTTTTTCAATAAAAAAAGAAAAGAAAAAAAGAAGACGGTATTACAGTCAGTAGTGGCCATATTGTTTGGAAGATAAAAGTGACGAAATATTCTATTCTCACGATGGCCCGTGGTTAGGGTCCAGCGGATAATGCTCCGAAAATGTTCGTATAATGCTAACCATAATGCTCCACAAACTGCCTTATAATGCTGATTATCATGCTTCAGCAAGGGATATAATGCTCTTAGTTTGGGACAAAAATGGAAGAAAGTCTGCACATTGTCAAACTTCCAGGAAATTATGCATATCGTCGATCTGCATTTGAAGTTGCCACCTTATCTCTCACGAGCTCCACTACTTCTTAGCACTATAAGACATGATCGCTTCTCCATTGATTGCTCTCTATTCCAACTTTGATGCAGGGTTGTGGCAGAATAGTCGGTGTATCAAATCCCTCCCCTAATTATCCATGTAGTGAGAGATGAAACCATTATTGCAGGTAGTCATTCATTGTTGGGATGAAGTTAATCTTGGCAAATAGTATTCCTGCCTGAAGACAAGTTGTCACTGCGTCCACTCTGTGAATAATGTCTTCATCTGAAACACCAGACGTGAGGCCAGCTCCTGAGATCCGATCTCAGATGGAGAGCCCTCCCATTTGCGGAAATCCTGAAAACACTTGGTCAGAAGTTATTTTGCCACTCTACATCCTTTGCTTGTGCTCTCATCTTCTCCTTGAGATGGTGTGTAGACGTATGGCTTGCCCCAATACTCTTCCTTTCTGATAGCATTTGACTGTAGGCCTGGCATTACAACCGTCCACAACTAACTGTACGTGCTTCCTCAGGAAAGTAAGACAGGCGCTGCTGAGCAATCGACTTGGTACTGAGTCCATGAGAAATTCTAGTTCTTTTCGAGCCTCCCGGTGAGCTGGACTCGGCAAAGGCAGTTCTTTTGGAACGAGCTCTTTCTGTTTATAGCCGCTCCTTCATCCTGGTCCAAATTTAGCAATGCATCAGTATCTACTTCAGTATCGCTAGAGATGCTATCGCCAGAGCCTCTGGCACAACTAGAAAACTCTTCTTCGTCTGTTTGATATTCACTTCGCGGATGTCTCCTCCATAGCTCTCCATTATTCTAAAAGTAAAAGAAACCTCGTAAATAATTTCTCCGGAATTGTGTCACTTGAACTGCCTCGGCCTCGGTTGGGCATGCTTCACAAATGGCTTGTATACATTTACCTGACCACATCGCTACAATGATAACGTTTTTATGTAGCAATAGTTATGTAGCGTTAGTGCTAAAGGTGTTACGTGTCTACACAATCACAAAGTCATGCACCGGTACATTGCATAGTGCTCAAATGCCCGGAATGGGCGGAGCGTAGTACGCAAGAGGTACACAAAAGGAGTAAAATAGGATGGTTTCGTTGTTACTCAGAGTTTCATGGCAAAAACCAATCATCAGACAACATCTCATGATCATGATTGTAGCCTATTGTTGCCAAAAAACCTGGGATTTCCCGATATTATCCACTATGAAACTCGTTATGCCGCTCAAACCTCACACAATGCTCGTTTTGTTCCTTTCTAATGCTCCATAATGCTCTGATGCTCGGATAGTCGTATAATTATTATTATTATTATTGCAAATAACGCTGAGTAATTACACGAATGCATAAAAACCAGCATTTGCTTCCGGGAAGGATTCACAAACATAAGACAAAAACACCATGGCTCAATGTAACTGCACATACGAAAAGCAGCATCTATTGTCAAGTTCGAGTGGCAATGTCAGAAAGACGGTAGACTGTTCGTGCACGATTATCAACCTGCAGGGGATAAGTCAAGGACGCGGCTCGGCAGAGGAAGATGAGTGCCGCGGGGTGCCATTCCACCGTGACTTATCCCCTGCCAACTGCCGCAGCTGATTAAGGCCTCTAAGCGTGCCCAGGCGAATGCTCATGTTTGGGTGCTGACAAGCCCATGTCCTTTCTTTTCTCTCTCCTTCTCCTTTCTCCTTTCCTATCTCATCCTACCATCTCTGTCTTACATTTCTGGGAAAATGACTAGCGTGGTTCCGAAGCATGGAGAAATGCGAAGTAGTCGTATAATGCCGCATATAATGCCGGCATTGTCCAGCAGATTCTGCCGGGAGAAAAATTGGCAGAATTCGGTACTTTTTCTGGAAAATCTCATGCATGTTTGGTATGTGGATAAAGAAATGGAGCAGAATTCGAGGAATTGCCCGCCATAAGGTTTGTATGGTTCTGCCAATTTTACTCACTCACTAAATTTTACTGCTTTTCGAGCAGAATCTGCCACCTTTTCGTGCAGAATCCGCCGGTCCTTAGCCTGTGGCCAGTAAGACAAGAAGAAAGACAGGCACGGGGATCGGAAAAAGGGAAATCTAGCTAGACTCGGGTGGAGAACCAAGGATTATTTTATAAGAAGAAAAGAGGACCAAGGAGCTCCAAGTTACGCTAGAATGTTCACTAACACCACCAGTTATTTTACAATCAGCTCTTGCGATAACATTGCACGACACTGACCAACGGTACTGCCGTTCTACATCTAACTGGCAATCAGCTCTAGCACGCCTTGGATGCGCACTCCAACAGCCTTCCAGCTTGGAAGGTTCTAAGTGACTTTGAGTTACAGAAATAACATAGCCTAGGAGCTGTTTGAGTTGAGTTTTAAAATAACTGGTGCTGTTAGTGGACATTCTAGCCTAACTTGTAGCTCCTTGGTCCTCTTTTCTTCAACATTTAGCTGCGTGCCACAAGTACAATAGTAACGATACTAATAAAGAGTTTATCACACTGAGTGGGCACAAATGAGGCTATAAAATTATATGATGAGCAATGTGACCAGCTGAGTTCAAGTACAATCATGTACTTGCTTCCAAACTCGGGGCAGCTGGCACTGTGCATCTGGCTGCATGCGCTTCCGATTTTCGCTCCATGGACCGTGTCCTGGTGTCATGTAGCCCTCGATTGATCACAACCATCATCATGTTCCTTATTTTAAACCATTGAGAGTTCATTTAGAGTTCGAGACCTTTTTAAATATTTGAGCGTGTGGCGAATTATTTTTAGTGAACGCATATTATAAATCGTTCCACGTGCATCGAGTTTTGAATGGTGGAATAGTGACGGGGTTAAACCCTTTGATAAAGATCCGCACGCTAGTGTAAAAGCAAGCACAACTGCAGCTGGCTGCACTTCCGATTTTCGCTGCCACAGACCGTGGCCGCGTGGCCTGGTGTCTTGCAGCACTGAAGACCGAGGATTTGTGGAAAATAAACATTTGAAAAACAGCCGAGGCGTTTATCGCACGTTCTTTATTCGCCATTGAGAGTTTGATCCTGGGTCGAAGATACGCACTTCGCGACATCGTTTCGGGTAGTCTGACAATAGTACAGACTCAGTGCAGTCTCACTCTCACTCTCAGACCAGCGACCTCGTGTTGTGTTATCTCGCGACAGTAGATGATATACCTACTAATGGTCTGGAGCTGTGTGCGCACTGCACTGCTGCTATCATAAATTATTATTATGGCCCACTCGATGCTCACTCTGTGATAACCTAAGTCCTTCTCCCCGTGATCTTATTTTGGGGGGCGCATCTGGCGTTAGCCTGTAGGCCTAGTTTAGGAGCTGTACTCCGTGCGGGCCTGTCACAAGTCTTCTAGAGCTCAAGGGGTGAAAACCGAGACGCCAGATACGTTTGCCTGCCTGCCCAAGAAGAAAGAATGCGAATAATATTATAGGAAAATCGGAGGCATCAAGTGTTTCGCCGGTATGCAGCAGCGGGAGCTCGAGACTGACGTGCTGCTGGCTTCAGCCATATCGGGTCCAGAGCATCTCTAACGTGATCTGGTCTCTCCTGCTGCTCTACCCTAGCGCGTGGGAGCCGATCATCGACAGCTTCTCTGTAGCACAACCCGTGACTGTGCTCTGTAGTGCTGCGCTCAACCGGGATCCAGGCGGGGATTGCTCGGCGGTCGATAGATCTACTATCCAGATCATACTGCTAAAAGGTAAAACAAATGTAGATATACCATACTCCGTAGAACCAGAGGGTGCAGGCGGGGAGAATGAATGAACTCACTGCGACGGTTTTTTGTTTAGGTAATTTCTCTTGCGCATCGCTGCTTGCCATGCAAATAATGGTGAGCTTAGGCCGAGTAAAAAAAATTACTAGATGATCGTCCTTTTTTTGGAAAAATCGGGGAGGGCGGGAGGATTTTATTTTTATTTTTTTACTTTTTACCCTCTCATGCACACAGTGTACACAACAACATCAAGGTTTTTTTTCTCTTTTTTTCTTTTTTTTTCTTTTTTTATTTTTCTTTCTTCAGCAGATCGATACTGACGTTGTGATATACTAGTAGTATGTGGTCCATATAGTAAAACTCACGATTTAAAAAATAAAATATTTCTTGGGGCGCTGACAAAAACTGGGGCGGACGGGGACGATCATCTAGCTTTTTTTTTTACTTGGCCTTACATACAAAACTTACAGTGCTGGCAACTGAAATCCGACCCCCTGAGCGGTGCGCTCACATCGCAAAGACCCAACCCGGGATGGTAAAACTACGAAACAGAGACCGCTAGAATGTGAACCCACCGCTCAGGCCAGGGGTCGGATTTCAGTTGCCAGCACTTTACTTCCCGTTCTTCATTGATTTGGCTCGGGACCTACCAGTACTACTAAGTAATGTACTATGTATGTGGTCACGTGTGAGCAGATGGGATAGGCTGTGATTCATGAAAAGTACAGTCAGTATCGCCAAGAGTACATACCGTAAAGTCGCGGATAAAAGCCGGGCTTATAAGCACACAAGCCGCTTTCTGCATCAGGCTTCAATGCAAACCAGGCTTGTATGCAAACCATGCTTATATGCACCACTGATATTTTTGCCAGGCTTGTATGCACATCGGCCGATCCGGGCTTGCATAGAAGCCCGGCTTCTACACGCGACACGCGTAGATTTACCACTGACTACCGGTATGGCGGCAGTTTTACTATGCACTGTACATAGCGCATGCACTCTTGACCTACCCGATCCGCGCTTGCATAGAAGCCAGGCTTCTACGCGCGACAGGCTTATATGCATTGACCCGTTTGATTTTCAGGCTTCTATCCGCGATGTGCTTGTATGCAAACCCGGCTTTTATCCGCGACTTTACGGTAACCCCAAGAGTGTGCAACTCCAGCTATGGGGTCTGCGACGGCAGAACTTCACATCACGTGATGAACCCGTGCACTCTAGTGCATGATAGATACTGGGTTGTACGCAGCCCAGCTTTGGGTACAACTCTCTTGTGGTCACTTTGCACCAGGGAGCCCTACACATACACATACAATAATTCAATCCAATCGATCGATTCAAAATTTCAAATGAATACTGCACTAAAAATTCATGAAACCATCCTTGTTTTAGCCTTGTTTGCGGTTTCAAAAAAGTTCGATGGTTTTTTGAAAAACCACAGGGTTCACCCGTGAGGCAACCATCAAGCAGGAGTTATGGTTCCGTGTCACCTCCCGGTATGTGTAGGGCTCCCTGCTTTGCACTGTTTGCCAGCAGAACCTTTTGAACCATGTCACGTGATGTGAAGTTCTGCCGTCGCAGCACAGCAAAGAGGTTGTGCAGGCAGTTGCACACTCTTGGGGTTATGTACTCTTGGTATCGCCTATAGCGTTGGTGTTTGATTTTGAGCATTTTATCACTATAAGCGATATATTACTATGACCGATACTGCATGCAATGTATGCGAGTGGGGTGTCAAACTACTCAGCGCGCCGTGCACATACGCACTACATACATGTACAATGTCATGTAGCTGCAGTGGCTGTAGCGCCTGACACAGAAAATCAGCATTTCCTCATGATGGAGGCATATTTTGGCAACTTGTGCGAGCAAAACTCACCAAACAACACTCACTGGACAAGTTCTTCACGAAGAAGTAACACCCTGTTCTCCTCTAACATCGCTTGATTTTACATCAATTACTATAACCGATGCAAACATAATGTAATACAGGTCTTTTGAAATAAGAATTTGATCACTATAGGCGATATATTACTACAGACGATTATTACTATACGCGATAACTGTGTATACTTAGTTATGGCAAATGAAAATGAATTTCAGAAATTGATCACTATATCCGGTATATTACTACAGCCGCCAACCTTATAGGCGATACGGACTGTACTTGCCAGAGCTGAGATCCAACCTCATGAATAAAATAGCACGGGGGGGGGGGGGGGCGCTCTTGTCCGCATCCCAAGCACTTCTACTAGCACCAGCTGTTCTGTGCACTTGAAAGCGGCGCTACTTTATTCATTGAGGTTGGATGTCTCTGGTCAGAACTGTACTGCATCTATTCGATTACACATCATCTATTGGTATGCTTTGGCACACACGCCGGTCTCCTCACAGTGATGTCCTACCTCAGGCAAAACCAGCGACTCAGATATCGTAGAATCCCGCGGAAAAGCCAATGGGCTTATCAGTTTCACAAGGACATTTCGGTGGGCGTATACGAGAACGTGGGCTTATAAGCCGGCACCAAAATTGTGCTATTGAAAAGTATGAAAGAAGTGAGCAGTGGCATAACCAAGAGTCCATAATTTATGGACTCTTGGTATGACCTAGGCCCATGGACTTGTACGATGAAGCTTTGTGATGTTCGAACTAATCCTGGGCTTATGCGTGAGCATGGGCATATAACGCGGGTGGGCTTATCCGCGGGATTCTAGGGTATTGCATACGTTGCTACCATAAGAGAATCCTCCCACTTTAATACGCTGTGCACAGAGCATCCTTGAGAGATCAAATATGCAGGGTCACTACCCTAACTTCATTTCCACGTGACGCTCATCATTCGCTCCCTTGTCACTGGACAGTTCTGTCTGTTGTTTGGTTTTAGCGAATTCAAATAGAGAAAACAACAACACAACCTTTGTGCTTTGTGTTTATGTACCGTATTATCTCTAATATAAGCACAGTCTCCAATAATAGCACGTCTCCGATAATAGAACACCTTGGGCGGCATTCAAAAAATAAAGTGCTCAGTCTCCATTATAAGCACACTGTGTAAATTCATTGTCTGTACTGGAGAAAAAACCCTGAAATGTGTGTGTCTGCCATGAATTTGGCATGGCAACATGCATCTGAAATGAGGTTGAAATAATAATGGAACAGTCTCCAATAAAGGAACGACTCCATTAATAGCACGGGGCGGAGGTAAATTGAAAAAATAAAGGACAGTGCTTATAATAGAGATAATACGGTAGATACAAATGTGGAATATGTTCCCCTCCTTGTCTTGAGAACATATTTACAAAGCCCTTTACAGAATTCTAGCTGTATCTGCTGCTGCAGTGTGTTTTCTGCACACACCGCTAAAATCATGCTTCTAAACCCTATCGAAAGGCAAACCCTCAAAATTAATAACAACTCCCATCAATGCACAGTAAAACCTGGGACTAACGACCACCCCTTTGGCTAGTTTGAAAGCGGTCTTCAGTGGCAGGTGGTCCTTAGTTAGGGGTTTGCACCTCACAACCAATATATGCATGTGAGATTGTCCATCCCTGGCAAAGTGGTCTGTAGTACCAGGCTTGTCGCTAGCCACGGCGGTCTTTAGTTACAGGTTTTACCGTAGGTACTTCAGTTGAAGAGGCTTCTGTCTCTGGTACCTGTTGTTTTATACAGCTCATCTTCAGCGGAACAGGTTTCAGCATCACCAGCAGCCACAGCCGCACCAGCAGCAATATCACCAGCAGCCACAGCATCACCAGCAGCAATATCACCAGCAGCCACAGCAGCAGCAGCCCCAGCAGTAGCAGCAGGAACAGCAGCAGCACCAGCAGTAGCAGCAGGAACAGCACCAGCACCAGCAGCCTAGACATAGCAGCCATAGCAGTAGCAGAAGAAACAGCAGCCACAGCAGCAGTAGCAGGAATAGCAGCAGTGATATCACCAGCAGCTACAGCAATAGCAGTAGCAGCAACAGTAGCAGCAACAGCAAAAGCAACCGCAGTAGCAGCCACATCAGTAGCAGGAGAAAGTAACAGAAGGAACAGCATCAGCTGAACCAGTGGTGGCAATAGCAGCAGTGGTGGCAATAGCAACAGTGGTGGCAAGGCTGTGTTCACAGTGATGGCAACTCCTACAGTACATCAACGCCAACACACAGTCCACAGGTATTGCAAGTGGTGGATCTTACTTCCCGTTATATCTACAGCATGCATGTTACTGATCTTCAATGCACCGCAGACAGTTTCCCGGACAATGTGGATTATGATGTTTGGCAAAACAATAGCTCCTCCTGTATATTCAAACCCGATAGATATCCATCACGGAACTTTCCTGTATCTGGTCATGGAGGAGAGTGCTGTTCCGAATGTGTATGTTCAGACAAGTCTCATCAAGGACGTTCACGTGATCTTCCTAGCTTGGAAAACTGCGCCGCCAAAGTCCAACGTTGGAAAGGTGCAGACGGACTTCTTTCCAAAATCGTCTTGGGCCAGTGGTCGTAATCGTCTCTCTGATCTAGCACTGCAACGGGAAGAGCAACAGGGCTGGAGCTTTGAGTTCTGGATATTCTGCGACGGCGATGCGCGCCTGATCAAGCGCCATAACCGGACGGTGTTTCCACTCGGTCCGACTCACATGGAGGCCAGTGAACGCCTGCGTACTTTGCTGCTACGCGATCGCCCTGCCCGCGCCGGCTTGGCGTACCCGTCGTTCCCACTCGAGATTGCCAAGCACCCGATGGAGTGCGTGCGCAACTGTGCCAACGATGCTGCCATCGACATCTTTCATCGCACGGCGCTCAACCCGGTTCTGCCGTATCCCACCGCGTTCGACTCCGTCAGCTGGTGGATGGCATCGGAGACCACCAGCTACCGCAGCGCAGCGGCTTTCAGCGACTACTGCAACACGTACCGAGAGGTCGTGCTGGATCGCCGTGGCAACATGCACGCCGAGTATCCAGGTCAGGACGGCATCGGCAGAGTGGCCAACTACAGAACGCTAGCCACTAGCGCGTTCCGCCGGTGCGTTTCCGACCTGCGCAACGTGGAGCACGTGTGGCAGCGGGTCCAGCGGCACGGAATCTATCGCGCCCAGGCCGAGGACAATCTGGTCTGTACCGCACAGCACAGAGATGTTAATTACAGTGCGCTCATAGCTGACCCAGAGATGCAGATATTTCAAACTTGCTAGCTTGATGTGTACTAGAAATAATGTACCTTTATTTGGGAAAACTGAGAATTTGTGATAAAAAAAAGTAAATTATCGTGTCCGTTCCCGAAGGGAACTCACGACGGCCGCTAACACCCGGTAAACCCTGAAAATTGTGATACAGAATGCCAAAATCAATCGGGATAAAACAATCACCGAATAGTCGAATACATTTTTATATTGCACGAATAAAGTTTCCATGTCGATTCTGCTTGTCCTATTGGTTGCGATCATAAAATTATTGTCTCCTGGTAAAGGGGAGTAGAATAATGCAGAATGCACAGTCATAAGTGGACGTACTACCAACAGCGAGAAAGGGACGAAGGGATTAAGTGCGAATATATTCTTGCATAACAAACGTTTCCTAGAGGACAATCTTCAGTGGAACATTATCGTCTACCACTGACTGTGCATTCTGCATTATTTTACGCCAGTAAAAGAACCGAGATAATATTGTACCTTATACCTACCTTATTGTACACCCCCATTCATCACACAGAGCCCTGACCAGTGTATATTCACTGTATCTTCTAGAAAAGTAAACACTGGTAATATACACCATAGGAGAGAAATAAAATTTAATACTGTTAATATTATACTCCTTTTTAGGATTCAGACGGAGGTAGGTATAAGTCGGATATACCCTTCGCTGGTATGTATATGGAAAATATACACCATCAAACAAACCTCGGCCTTCGGCCTCCGTTTGTATTTGGTGTATATTTTCCATATACATGTACATTCCAGCTCAGGGTTTATCATACTCCCCGACCATGTGTTGCACAGCAATGTTCTAATATACATATTGTGTCAATGCATATTCTACGCGATCTGTCCAATAATATAATTTTTTATTATACTCCCCGACCCCCTGTGTCTACTCCCAACTTGTTGATGCACTGAAGTGTCGTTGAAGCCGAGAACTCAGGTTGGCGGAGATTTTTTTACAGAATGCACCTCCTACTGATAGACCATAAGGCCACCCTTTGTTAATTCATTGTTTAACGTCCTTTTTTTCGCGAAAAGGTACGCGGGAGGGCGGAAAAAAAACAAAAGCCCATTCCAAAAACTGGAAACCCCAATCAAACATTTTGACCAGTAAAGCATGTGATATATACAATATTTCTGGGTCTAACGGCACTTGCAGGCATAGAACAACACTCTTTGATGGTACATTGGAGCACATGCCTGATGAATCCAACAAAACAGGTACATAGCATGGAGTTAGCATGTCATGAATTCATTACATCTGGATTTTTACTAGGACATACACCGTACGATATTTAAAAGCCAACAAAAAAAGAAAAAGAACACAAGACAAAGGCATGCCCGGGAGGCAAGATTATAAGTTTAAGGTCATGATCGGCACACTGTGAAACTACACAATCATGTATTTACAACTTCGCATATTATTGGTACTACTACTTTCTTGTTTTTTTTCCGGTCGGAGGCAAAAAGGTACGCGGGCGCGGACGTTAAACAACGAAAAAAGAAAGGGTGGCCTAAGGCATAACAAAGAGAGGAGAAGAAGAAGAAGACAAAAGAAAATAATGATCGAGACAACAAAGGAGAAAGACAGACAATGTACTAGTAGGGGCTCTCAGGGAGCCTGTGCCAGTGAGGCGGGACTAGTAACGCCGACCTAGGGTCTCGGCGTTAGCGCTATCCAGCGCACCATGGACGGGATTACGAAATACATGTAAATAGATGCTCCAGTTTCACCACCTCGGCTGCGACTTCCATCTCTATCATACAGCATTCTGTTCTCGAGGTTCGTGGTTTCTCAAGTAAAAAAATTAAACAAACTAAACGCGGATGTTGCGCCAATAGTAAAATAGAGAAAGGAAAGGATCATACGGATACAACAACGGTTCAGTAGCCGGTAGCAGTCTCCCCGTAAATTCCCTAAAAATCGAATTTGTAAATTCATATCGAGTGATGTACATCAGTTGAAAGAGCATGAATAGCTGCAAAATCTCTGAAAATTTTGTCTCGATCTGACCAGCCGGTCAAGACTTATGAGTCTACAGGTGTGAGAAAAACAGTACATGTAGCCAGGCGGGAGGCAGCAAAAAGGTGCGAAGAACAGCAAGTAACCGAAGCGAAACACACTTGCTCTTGGTCGCGTACTGGCCTTCGCACCTTTTCGGGTGGAATTCGGGCGGACACACCCATTCTCATAGCGCTGCACATCCGAACCAGTTCCGATTTTTCACAACGTTTCAGCACTTGGCCATCATCAGGCAACAGGAACAATGAACAATGTAACAGAGTACAAAGGGGGGGAGCCAGTGTGCAAGCGGAGAAGGCATTCGGAGTAGGCCTTTGCGGATAATGCCGGCAGAAAAATTGGCAGAACTCGGTACGTTTTCTGGTAAGTTTCATGCATGTTTGGTATGTGGATAAAGAAATGGAGCAGAATTCGAGGAATTGCCCGCCATAATCACCGAAAACGCGTTCACAGAACGACGTTTCCCCGCAAGACATTTCACAGAATGACAGTTATTATTATTATTATTTTTTTTTTTTTCTTATTGTGTTAGTTCACCGCCAATACAGATTCACCAAAATATCTAAGCACAGAATTTTCATTTACAGAATTCTATTTCATCTAATCCCGGTTCACAGACGCATTTTTTCACCGAATGGACAGTTCACCGAAAACTACTTATATTGACCCAAATTCATGATCGCATATAAAATGTGTAGTGAAAGGTGCTCAAGCCTCTCTTATTGGCTAAAACTAACAAAAGACAATGGATTAAAATGCAATACGACACTGGAGAATAAATCAGGAAAATGCATGTGTAAAATGAAGACATCCAACAACGCGTTGAAGTTGAATTGAATTGAATTCGTTGTTTTCCATTGCTAGCCTAATCATCATACTGCTCTCTCCAGGTTCCTTTAGTACTCCTTTTGTTTTGTTTTGTTTTCTCTTTTTCTTCTCCTTCTTTTTCTCAGTTGTCCCCACCATGGCTGGTTAAAATCGCCCGCATAACATGCTTATTGGCACTATGTCATCGTGATTGTGGAATAATAATAATAATAATAATAATAATAATCCAGAGAAAAAACAAAAACAACAAAACAAAAAAACTTGATAGACGAAAATTAATGATAACACAGTATACAAGATCAGAACGTTGCGTAACAAGGCGAGACTCAGCCACCACTAGAGAAAGGTGAAAGGTGGCGGAGTATCTACAGTGTCAACGTGTGCTGTGCCAGATGCCGGAAATACTCACATCACTGCTCCACAAAGAAAGCCAGATTATGCGGAATAGCACGCAAACACTCCAGTGGCGGGCGTTGCTCAAATGTGGTCACTACAGTGCGCAGGCGCTTCGCATGTGAGTCCTTTTACTTGTGAAACTAATTCACTGATAGTTCTGGTTTCATGTTAGTTGTTACAATCGTAAACACTTTTAAAATTTGTAGGTTTCCGCACACTCACAATGTTGGCGCCAAAAAACATACTCGCTGCCTGGAATAGGGATTTGCATGCACATCTATGTATACCGGCACATGATTGAAATAACAGCACAGCAGAGTTTCGCTACTTTTGTATTGAAATATGGAGGACACTAGACCATCAGATTACGTGTCAACGACCAAGCGCGGGGGGGGTCTTCGGTGGATACCAAAACTTGGATATGCTTACGTCGTTGACAAGAGAGGAGAGGACGGGATGAAGTTATCTACAGACTACGGGAGGTGCGACAGAAAAGACGAGCTTCAGTGCAAAGGAAGGTTGATATCGGAGGATGATTCAATTGTGAAGGTGACCGGATTGCACTGCCATGCTCTAGATGCAACCTTAGAAGGGCAGGCGCAAGTCAAGGATACAAATGAGCACCGTAGTCGAAGCACTAGGGAGACTACTCTGCAAATCGTCCAAGCGGTTACCCAAAGTGCGTCTTTGGCGGCAGTGGTCCAGCTTCCGTCACAGAACAGCCTTCGCCGCAGAGCACAGCTCGCTCGCGTGGCAGCAAATGCACCGTCATCCAATCCGGCCTGCTACCCTTGCAGATATTATCACCCCGCAAGAATACCACGAGGCCCTAAATGGCGAGCAGTACCTGGTTCACGGAAGTGGCTCTGCTAGTGGGTATAAGCGCTTCCTCGTGTTTTCAACGCAGGAAAACAGTATAGCTCTGGCAAATGCACAGACATGGTACAGTGGTGGAACGTTTAAAGTTGTGCCGCCACTTTTCACCCAGCTCTACACGATCGGAACAGTCGAGCACAACTACTTCTTTCCGCGGGTGTATGCCATTCTACCGGACAAGTGTCAGGATACTTACGAGAGACTTATCCAATCTTTGATGGATCTTAACCCTGAACTGCAGCCAGACTAGATCAGCACAGACTACCGTACGAAATTGCACCTATCAAAGCATACAGACAGAAATTCCCTCAAGTGGCAATTCAAGGCTGCTTTTTTCATCTCTCTCAAGATATAAAAAAACAATTTCAAGGTGTGCTGGACTGCAACAAATGTACGTTGAGCAACGTAACTTTGCTGTAAGTCTTCGTATGATCGCAACCCTTGCCTTCGTTCCGCTGGGAGATGTTGCTGAGTACGTCGATCAACCTTCCCGTGCGGCTCCTTGCTTGTTGGCCCATCTTGCACAGCACGCGTTATTTCCAGGTTTTCTTCAGTGCTTCGTTGCTCGTTCCTTTTACAAGTTTTCGACCAGCTTCCACTATGTCGATGATGGCAGTTTACTGCAGCTGAAAATCGGGGATGCCAAGTCTCTGGAAGCCGACGCGGAGGAAGTATTAACGCACTTTGAAACTTACTACATAAGCGGTCTAAGAGCTGCATGTAATAGGAGCAGAATAACGCCTTGTTCCGGCACGAGTGGTGGAACGTCCACACAAGAACGTCTAATGGAGAACACAGAACGAACAACATCCAGCAAAGTCGGTTAGCTGTCGGTCGGTGAACTGTCGCTCGGCGAGCTGTCGTTCGGTGATATGTCGGGACACCATGGACCTGTTTTCTGTGAACCTGATTTTCGGCGAAGTGAACAATCGCTAAATCTTACACTCTGTGAAAATGTCTTTCGGTGAAACGTCGTTCTGTGAATGGTCGTTCTGCGAACGCGTTTTCAGTTGAACCGTCTGGATACCATTTGGGGAACGCCTACGCCGAATACGTCGCCTATCCATTACATAATTCTTCATTATTAATTTTACA